GTTGAAGACTTCATAAAGTCAAGGATTAATAAAACTTTTCCTGAACACAAGTAAATCAATCAATTGTTGTAAAAAGGGTTTTTTATTTATCTTTAATTATTAAAATTATTTTAATTAAAAGATTTATTGCTGAAGAAATGGCTTCAACAAACAATAAATACGAATTCACGAGCAAACCAACTTGGATCATTGATCCTATAGGTAAGCAGTATTTTTATAACTTTAATATTGAATTAAAAATTGTATTATTTAATACTTTAATGTCATCTATTTAAAAGAGTATTAATTACATTGGTGAATTTTCTTTATTTTAATTTTTTAGATGGAACCACAAACTTTGTTCATGGGTAAATGCTCCAATGCTATAGATATAAATATGTGAATTAATAATTTAAAAAAATTTTTTTTGTTAGATTCCCATTTGTTGCAGTATCAATTGGTTTAACAATCAACAAAGAGCCTGTTGTTGGTGTTGTGTTTAACCCATTTCTTAATGAAGTGAATAAAAAATTTTTTTGCTTATAATTTTAATTTTAGACACACAAATATTAATTATATCTATGCTTATTTTTTAGCTTTACACTGCAAGTAAAGGTCAAGGAGCTTATCTTAATCTCAACACAAAATTACCTTTAACTTATTCATATCCACCATTACCATTACCCTCAAGTTTGTCTCAATGTTTAGTGGCTACTGAATACGGGAGTGATCGATTACCAATAACTATTGGTAAAAAAACTCAATCTGTATATAATTTATTGACAAAACCAGATGATGCTACTTTGAATTCTAAAAAAGGTGGATTGGTTCGAAGTATTAGAAGTCTTGGGTGTGCATCACTTAATATTTGCACAGTTGCTAAAGGACATTTTGATGTTTATTGGGAAATTGGATGTTGGGAATGGTAATATTTACATTTATACAACATAATAAATTAAATAGACTGTGATAATATTATTATTTAAATTTTAATTATTATTTAAAGGGATGTGGCAGCTAGTATTGTGATCCTTCAAGAAGCTGGTGGTATTATGGTGAATGGACAAGGTCCAGATGAAGGTCCAGTTAATATACTTGGGCGTAAATTTTTAGCAATTAGAGGCGGTTTACCTTGTTCGAGCGATGAAAATTCAAGACAAAGTCAAATACGTCTTGTTAGAGAAATGTGGGGTTTAGTTGAAGAAATTGATTGTCCAAGATATTGACCAAAAAGTAAATATTTTTTTAATGTTCATTATTTTTAAAGACATATTTATTAAAGTTATTGTTATAACAAGCAATCAATAATATAAAATTATTTATTTGAATTATATAATGTCACCGTATTCATTCCTTTTGATATTTTTATTTCCAGTTTTATTAAATTCTTTGGTTGTTCTTGAAAAATAATAATGATTTTTTTTCACATTATCATTACTATCATAATCATAATCATTATTGTTATTATCATCTTTGTATGTATATGATTTTTGAAAACTTGAAAATAAGTTATCATTATTAAGATTTTCCATTGTATTATTATTTATATTCTGTTTATGTTTTGCTTTCTGTTGTTCTAATTTAATCTTTTCATGAATTCTATCCCATGAAGATAGCGGTTTTGAATTCATGGACTCAGTTTTATTCCAATCATTATTTTCTTGATGATTATGATCTTTTGATGATGATGATTATGATGAATGATCTAAATAGGCAAAATAAATCAGGATGTTAAAAAAATAAATGTATGTTGCTAGTTTAAACATACCAATTTCAGCATAACTTCCTGATAAAGCGGTATTTAAAATGTCAGGTCAATTATATTTATCATCATTACCATCATTAGTAGCTTGATCTGTCTTTTCCTTTTCTAATTTGATCTTGCTATGTCATGGTAATTTCATCTTTAACATTTCTTGGCTACAAATTTTAAGAATTAAAATTACTTTTGGTGAAAAAAAAAATGAAGAAATTATAGATAAATTGAACTGTAAATCTCTTATTATTGTATAAACATTCTGTTTATTTGGTAATGTTTGTATAGTTCTATAACCTACAACCATTCCATTGACACTTCCAATAGTAGACCCAATCAGCATAGTTACTGTTTAATTCAATTCAATTATCATTTTATTAAAGACATAGACCTAATAAATTTGTTTGCCCCACTAGAGAAGGGAGATAGAAAAGAAAAATTGTCTCATGGTATTTACCAAAACATGTTAATATCGTTGCACCAGGCCTAAATTTTTTTACGCGAGCTTTTTTTTAATTTAAATATGATTAGAAGAAAAAATTTTAAACAATTTAAAATGATTTTGTTTACTTATAAAAAAAATATATATATATATACCAGCTATGCCACCAGCAACAAAACCAACAAATGACCCAATTTTTACTAAATTACAAAAGTTAAAACAACAGATTTCTTCAAGAAAAAAAGGTAAATATATAAAACGTACATACAATGTTTATTATATAATTTACTAGCCTACAACAAAGTATCGTATTCTTGTTTTGATAACTTGTATACTTTTGTTGCATTTGGAAGTTCGTCCATATCTTTTTTAACTTTTAAATTTTTTTAATTTTACACATTATGACATTATGCGTATTGTGGACCTCAATGGTTACGCCCGTTATAATGACACTCACTATTTATCCCGTTATAATAGTTAGTATAATGATATAATTTGTCAAAAATGATTTTTTTTAATTATAGAATTTATCCCGTTATACTGACACCCGTTATAATGACATGTCAGTATAACGAGAGAACCAATCAAAAATACTTGATCACTTCTGAAAAAATTGAAACAATAAAATGTGACTAATTGGTTAATTAGACAATGAATTATTAAAAATCAGAATTAAATTTTGTTTTAAAAATGACTTCAACCTCTGCACCTTCATCCAAAAAAAGAAGTTCTTTAAGTGATTTGCAAAAAAAAGAACTATGTAAGTGTGCTAAAAATGATCCTAGCTTAACTCAAGCTTTCTGTTGATGAAACTGTTTCAACTTCTCAATTTAAAAAGAATTGGCAAGCAAATTGGCCACAATTAGAAGAAACTCTAGCAATTTGGTTTGATGAGCTATAAAACATAACTAAAGAAGAGGAGGAGGAGAAGGAGGAAAATATTATTCATATTAATACTAACAATGCGTTGAAAAGTTGCATAAACCTTCTTATTTATATACAACAAGAACAAGTACCAAAGTTTATAGTGGAGGTTCACTTATTAAATAATTTACAAGAATTAAAAAAAAACAATAAGTCAGAGTTTTAGAGAGGCTAAACAAATTAATTTAGATTTTTATGTTCAA